TGGAGCTCTGTCAGAGTGACCATCAGGTTCTTGGTCACCTCCCTGACCAAGGCCCTTCTCCCCCGATTGCTCAGTTTGGCCGGGCGGCCAGCTCTAGGAAGAGTCTTGGTGGTTCCAAAGTTCTTCCATTTAAGAATGATGGAGGCCACTGTGTTCTTGGGGACCTTCAATGCTGCAGAATTGTTTTGGTACCCTTCCCCAGATCTGTGCCTCGACACAATCCTGTCTCAGAGCTCTATGGACAATTCCTTCGACCTCATGGCTTGGTTTTTGCTCTGACATGCGCTGTCAACTGTGGGACCTTATATAGACAGGTGTGTGCCTTTCCAAATCATGTCCAATCAATTGAATTTACCACAGGTGGACTCCAATCAAGATGTAGAAACATCTCAAGGATGATCAATGGGAACAGGATGCACCTGAGCTCAATTTCAAGTCTCATAGTAAAGGGTCTGAATACTTATGTAAATAAGGTATTTCTGTTTTTTATTTGTAATACATTTGCAGAATGTTCGATAAACCTGTTTTCGCTTTGTCGTTATGGGGTATTGTGTGTAGATTGATGAGGATTTTTATTTAATCTATTTTAGAATAAGGCTGTAACGTAACAAAATGTGGAAAAAGTCAAGGGTTCTGAATACTTTCCGAATGCACTGTATACGGTAACTACTCTATATGGTAGCTAGCGATATGCTAACTATATATTAACCCCAGACTCTCTCTATATGGTAGCTAGCTATATGCTAACTATATATATATATATATATATATATATATATATATATATATATATATATAAACCCCAGACTCTCTCTGTATGGTAGCTAGGTATATGCTATATCGTAAACTAGAAGATAACCATGCTAACCCCAGACTCTCTCTATATGGTAGCTAGCTATATGCTAACTATATATATATTAACCCCAGACTCTCTCTGTATGGTAGCTAGCTATATGCTAACTATATATATATTAACCCCAGACTCTCTCTGTATGGTAGCTAGCTATATGCTAACTATATATATATTAACCCCAGACTCTCTCTATATGGTAGCTAGCTATATGCTAACTATATATATATTAACCCCAGACTCTCTCTGTATGGTAGCTAGCTATATGCTAACTATATATATATTAACCCCAGACTCTCTCTGTATGGTAGCTAGCTATATGCTAACTATATATATATTAACCCCAGACTCTCTATATGGTAGCTAGCTATATGCTATATCGTAAACTAGAAGATAACCATGCTAACCCCAGACTCTCTCTGTATGGTAGCTAGCTATATGCTAACTATATATATATCTATATTAACCCCAGACTCTCTCTATATGGTAGCTAGCTATATGCTAACTATATATATATCTATATTAACCCCAGACTCTCTCTGTATGGTAGCTAGCTATATGCTAACTATATATATATCTATATTAACCCCAGACTCTCTCTATATGGTAGCTAGCTATATGCTAACTATATATATATTAACCCCAGACTCTCTCTATATGGTAGCTAGCTATATGCTAACTATATATATATCTATATTAACCCCAGACTCTCTCTGTATGGTAGCTAGCTATATGCTAACTATATATATATTAACCCCAGACTCTCTCTATATGGTAGCTAGCTATATGCTAACTATATATATATATATATTAACCCCAGACTCTAGCTATATGCTAACTATAGACTCTCTCTCTCTGTTCCAGCGGAAGCTTCCAGTACCTACAAACAGCATCGCCGTACCCCCTCCTCATCCAGCACCCTCACATACTCACCACGAGACGATGAGGACGGCATGGTACACACACACACACACACACAAACACACACACACACACACACACCCTCACATACTCACCACGAGACGATGAGGACGGCATGGTACACACACACACACACACAACACCCTCACATACTCACCACGAGACGATGAGGACGGCATGGTACACACACACACACACACACACACACACAGACACACACACACACACACACAACACACACACAGACACACACACACACACACACCCACACACACACACACACACAGACACACACCACACACACACACACAGACACACACACAGACACACACACACACACACCACACACACACACACACACCCACACACCACACACAACACACACACACAACAGACAGACAACACACACACACCATACTCACCACGATACGATGAGGACGGCATGGTACACACACACACACACACACACACACACTCACCACGAGACGATGAGGACGGCATGGTACACACACACACACACACACACACACACACAGACACACACACACCCTCACATACACACACACACACCCTCACATACACACACACACACCCTCACATACTCACCACGAGACGATGAGGACGGCATGGTACACACACACACACACCCTCACATACACACACACACACACACACACACACACACACATACTCACACACACATACTCACCACGAGACGATGAGGACGGCATGGTACACACACACACACACACAGACACACACACACACACACACACACACACACACACACACACACATACTCACCACGAGACGATGAGGACGGCATGGTACACACACACACACAGACAAAAACACACACACACATACACACACAGACAAAAACACACACACACACACACACACAAAAACACACACACACACAAACAAAAACACACACAAAAACACACACAGATTTTCCTCATGCTGTCTTGTTGCTCTGCAGAGTAAATGCCGTTATTTCAAGTGACGTTTATTTGACTGGTACACAGTAGAAATGAAATGCTTTTCTAGCACGTTCTGGAACATGTTCCGTGAAGCATTTCGATGACATTGAGAAGTTTACCTCATCCGTCACCGACTTCGTTAATCAGTGCATCGATGACGTCGTCGTCGTCGTCCCCACGGTGACGTACATACCCCCAAACCAGAAGACCTGCCGGAATACTAACCCGGACGCTTATTAAGAACTCCTGCTACAGCGCTCGTAGGACGTGGCAGGGCTTGCAAACTATCACGGATTACAGAGGGTACCAGACGAGCTAAATACCTCCTATGCTCTCACTCCAACGCAAGCAACACTGAACCATGCATGAGCTCACTAACCGTTCCAGACGACTGTCTCCGTAGCCGACGTGAGTAAGATTTTTTAAATAGGTTAACATTCACAAGGCCGCAGGGACAGACGGATTACCAGATTACCAGGACGCGTACTCGGAGCATGCGCTGACCAGCACGTACTCAGAGCATGCGCTGACCAGCTGGCAAGTGTCTTCACAGACATGTTAAATCTCTCCCTGACCCAGTCTGTAATACCTACGTGTTTCAAGCAGACCACCATAGTCCCTGTGCCCCAAGAACGCCAAGGTAACCTGTCTAAATGACTATCGCCCCCGTAGCACTCACATCTGTAGTCCATGAAAATGCTTTGAAAAGCTCATATCAACACCATCATCCCAGACACCGTGGACCCCGCTCCAATTCATATATATACCTGCCCAAACAGATGATGCAATCTGCATTGCACTCCACACTCCCCTTTCCCACTTGGACAAAAGTAACACTCTACGTGAGAATGCTGTTCGTTGACTACAGCTCAGCGTTCAACACCATAGTAACTGGTACAGATAAGGACCCTGGGACTGGACTTTCCTGACGGGGCGCCCCCTGGTGGTGAGGGAAGGTAACAACACATCCGCCACGCCGACCCTCAGTACCGTGGTTCCCACAGGGGGTGCGTGCTCAGTCCCCTCCTGTACTCCCAATGTTCACCCATGACTGCGTGGCCGCGCACAACTCCATAATTAAGTTTTGCCTGGCGACGGCCAGATCACCGACAACGCTGAGACAGCCTATAGGGAGGAGGTCAGAGACCTGGCAGTGCGGTGCCAGGACAACAACCTCTCCCTCAACGTCAGCAAGACAAAGGAGCGGATCGTGGACTACAGGAAAATGGCGGGGGCCAAGCACGCCCCCCATTCGCATCGTCGGGGCTGTAGTGGAGCGGGTCTAGAGCGTCAAGTTTCTCGGTGTCCACATCACTAAGGACCTATCATGGTCCAAACACACCAACACAGTCGTGAAGAGGGCCTTCAGATCCTCAAAAGGTTTCTACAGCGGCACCATCGAGAGCATCTTGACTGGCTGCATCACCCCTGGTATGGCAACTGCTTGGCATCTGACCACAAGGCGCTACAGAGGGTAGTGCGGACGGCCCAGTACATCACTGGGGCCGAGCTCCCTGTCCTCCAGGACCTCTATATACCAGGCTGTGTCTGAGGAAGACCCTAAAAATGATCAGACTCCAGCCACCCAAGTCATAAACTGTTCTCTCTGCTACCGCACGGCAAGCGGTACCGATGCACCAAGTCCTGCAGCCAACAGAACCCCTGAACAGCTTCAACCCAGAAGCCATAAGACTGCTAAACAGTTCGTCCGGGTAGCTATTTGGTTAACTATTTAACTATCTGTATTGACTATTTTTTTGGTGTACTTTTTGTTTTTTGACTCATCACATACAGTATGTTGCTGCTACTCTTTAGTATCTACCCCAGTTACCTCGTACCCCTGCACATCCACTTGGTCCTGGGTTCCCCTTGTAGATAACCAAGTTATCGTTACTGTGTATCTATTAATACTTTTATTATTACGCCTTTTACTTTTCTCTTAATAAGATGTATATCTTTAATTCTCTCTCTGTCTCTCTGTCTCTCTCTCTGTCTCTGTGTCTGTCTGTCTCTCTCTCTGTCTGTCTGTCTGTCTGTGTCTCTCTCTGTGTCTCTCTGTGTCTCTCTGTGTCTCTCTCTCTCTCTGTGTCTCTCTGTGTCTCTCTCTCTCTCTCTCTCTCTCTCTCTCTCTGTGTCTCTCTCTCTCTCTGTGTCTCTCTCTCTCTTCCCCCCCCCAGCTCCCCATCAGCACCCCGAGGCGTTCTGACTCGGCCATCTCAGTGCGTTCCCTCCACTCTGAGTCCAACATGTCTCTCCGCTCAACCTTCTCTCTTCACGAGGACGACGACGACACGGTACGTCTACGCTAATGATACTTCAATGCTAAAGAGGCTAACAATTCTTCAACATTAAATATGCTCATATTTTGGCATCGATAGTGTTGAGTTATTTCGACGCTAACGATACCTCAATGCTATCGACGCTAACGATACCTCAATGCTATCGACGCTAATGATACCTCAATGCTATCGACGCTAATGATACCTCAACGCTATCGACGCTAATGATACCCCAATGCTATTGACGCTAATGATAACGCAATGCTAGCAATGCTAATGGTAACTCAATGCTAACGATATCTGAACGCTAACGATACCTCAATGCTAACCTGCTAATATTCCTCAATGCTAACCATGCTAATGTGGACTCAATGCTAACTATGCTAATTATGTGTTTGTGTGTGTGTAGGAGCCCCTGGTGTTTGCAGAGCAGCCGTCAGTGAAGCTGTGTTGCCAGCTCTGCTGCAGCGTCTTCAAAGATCCTGTCATCACCACCTGTGGGGTGAGATAAACTATCCTCTCACTTCCTCATTCCAGCGAGGGGAAAACCATGAAACATTATTATATGGTTGAAATCAATCAGTCACTCATTGACCTGGTCTCGGTCTCTCCCTCCAGCACACCTTCTGCAGACGATGTGCCTTGACCTCTGGTAGGGGACTTTACCTAGCTACACTGTTGGTCAAATACTTACACCTTGCCAGCAGCACATATAATGTGAAAGCAAATTTGTTGTTACATTTGTTTGTGTCTCTCTCCCGCTCTCCCTTCCTCTCTCTCTCTCTCTCTCTCTCTCTCCTCTCTCTCTCTCTCTCTCTCTCTCTCTCCTCTCTCTCTCTCTCTCTCTCTCTCTCTCTCCTCTCTCTCTCTCTCTCTCTCTCTCCTCTCTCTCTCTCTTCTTTCCATCTTCCCCTCTCTCTCTTTCCATCTCTCTCTCTCTGTCTCTCTCCCTTTCCATCTCTCTCTCTCCATCTTCCCCTCTCTCTCTTTCCATCTCTCTCTCTCTCTCCTCTAGATAAGTGTCCGGTGGACACAGCTAAGCTGACGGTGGTGGTGAATAACATAGCGGTAGCAGAACAGATAGGAGAGCTGTTCATCCACTGTAAATACGGCTGCCGGCCCTTAAACACCAGCCCCACGACCCCTACTGTCGCTGGGGCTAACGGGGCTGCTGGTGGGGCTGCTGCTAGTGGGGGTGGTGGGGGGACCCCTAAGATGGGAGGACCTGGGAACTTTGAGGTGGATCCGATGGGCTGCCCCTTCACCATCAAGCTCACCACACGCAAGTAAGGGCTTGTAATGGAAATATTACGTTGTTTTTAATGAGTCGTTGTGCTGTTGTGATTTTTTAAAGGGACAGTTCACTCTAAAAATCCAAAGTTTGTCAGATGTTGTCAGACCTCCAAAAGGGGGGTCTGATGCAGAGATGAGTCTGCAGCCAACCTGAATATAGATGGTCCCAGTCTTTCCCAGTCGTTTATGGTTTAGCCGTGAAAATGATTGATTTTGGTCGTGAACTGTCCCTTTAATAGTTAGAAGTTGGAGTGAACTGTCCCTTTAATAGGTAGACGTTGGAGTGAACTGTCCCTTTAATAGGTAGACGTTGGAGTGAACTGTCCCTTTAATAGGTAGACGTTGGAGTGAACTGTCCCCTTTAATAGGTAGACGTTGGAGTGAACTGTCCCTTTAATAGGTAGACGTTGGAGTGAACTGTCCCTTTAATAGTTAGACGTTGGAGTGAACTGTCCCTTTAATAGGTAGACGTTGGAGTGAACTGTCCCTTTAATAGGTAGACGTTGGAGTGAACTGTCCCTTTAATAGGTAGAGGTTGGAGTGAACTGTCCCTTTAATAGTTAGACGTTGGAGTGAACTGTCCCTTTAATAGGTAGACGTTGGAGTGAACTGTCCCTTTAATAGTTAGACGTTGGAGTGAACTGTCCCTTTAATAGGTAGACGTTGGAGTGAACTGTCCCTTTAATAGGTAGAGGTTGGAGTGAACTGTCCCTTTAATAGTTAGACGTTGGAGTGAACTGTCCCTTTAATAGTTAGACGTTGGAGTGAACTGTCCCTTTAATAGTTAGACGTTGGAGTGAACTGTCCCTTTAATAGTTAGACGTTGGAGTGAACTGTCCCTTTAATAGGTAGACGTTGGAGTGAACTGTCCCCTTTAATAGGTAGACGTTGGAGTGAACTGTCCCTTTAATAGGTAGACGTTGGAGTGAACTGTCCCTTTAATAGGTAGACGTTGGAGTGAACTGTCCCTTTAATAGTTAGACGTTGGAGTGAACTGTCCCTTTAATAGGTAGACGTTGGAGTGAACTGTCCCTTTAATAGGTAGACGTTGGAGTGAACTGTCCCTTTTAATAGGTAGACGTTGGAGTGAACTGTCCCTTTTAATAGGTAGACGTTGGAGTGAACTGTCCCTTTAATAGGTAGACGTTGGAGTGAACTGTCCCTTTAATAGGTAGACTTTGGAGTGAACTGTCCCTTTAATAGGTAGACGTTGGAGTGAACTGTCCCCTTTAATAGTTAGACGTTGGAGTGAACTGTCCCTTTAATAGGTAGACGTTGGAGTGAACTGTCCCTTTAATAGGTAGACGTTGGAGTGAACTGTCCCTTTAATAGGTAGACGTTGGAGTGAACTGTCCCTTTAATAGGTAGACGTTGGAGTGAACTGTCCCCTTAATAGTTAGACGTTGGAGTGAACTGTCCCCTTAATAGTTAGACGTTGGAGTGAACTGTCCCCTTTAATAGGTAGACGTTGGAGTGAACTGTCCCTTTAATAGTTAGACGTTGGAGTGAACTGTCCCTTTAATAGGTAGACGTTGGAGTGAACTGTCCCTTTAATAGGTAGACGTTGGAGTGAACTGTCCCTTTAATAGGTAGACGTTGGAGTGAACTGTCCCTTTAATAGTTAGACGTTGGAGTGAACTGTCCCCTTTAATAGGTAGACGTTGGAGTGAACTGTCCCTTTAATAGGTAGACGTTGGAGTGAACTGTCCCTTTAATAGTTAGACGTTGGAGTGAACTGTCCCTTTAAGACGTTGGAGTGAACTGTCCCTTTTTTAATGTGACCTCTGACCTGTAGGGAGCACGAGGTGAGCTGTGACTACCGTCCAGTTCGCTGTCCCAACAACCCCTCCTGCCCCCCTCTGCTCAGCATGAACCTGGAGGGACACCTTAAGGCGTGTGAACACATCAAATGCCCCCACTCCAAATACGGGTAGGTCACTCACACACACACACACACACACACACACACACACACACACACACACACACCAGGGTTTGGCGCCGGACAAATGTGACCGGCAAGATTTTTTAATTTACCTGACGTCCGTATGCATTTCAAATCAAATCAAATGTATTGGTCTCGTGTTTAGCAGATGTTGTTGTTGCAATATCTAGCAAGTAATATCTAACAGTTACACAACAAATACCCAATACACACAAAAACTAGTAAGGAATGGAATTGATGAATGAATATGAATATATATATATATATATATATATATATATATATATATATATATATATATATATGGACAAGCAATGACAGAGTGACATGGACTAAGATACAGTACAATATTATAGAATACAGTATATACATATGAGATGGGTAATGCAAGATATGTAAACATTATTAAGATATATAGCTCCTGAGTGGCGCAGTGGTCTAAGGCACTGCATCGCAGTGCTAACTGTGCCACTAGAGATCCTGGTTCGAATCCAGGCTCTGTCGCAGCCGGCCGTGACCGGGAGACTCATGGGCGGCGCACAATTGGCCCAGCGTCGTCCAGGGTAAGGGAGGGAATGGCCGGCAGGGATGTAGCTCAGTTGATAGAGCATGGCGTTTGCAACGCCAGGGTTGTGGGTTCGATTCCCACGGGGGGCCAGTATAAAAAAAAAAGAAAAAAAAAAAAAAAAAAAGATATGTATTCACTAACTGTAAGTCGCTCTGGATAAGAGCGTCTGCTAAATGACTTAAAATGTAAAAAATGTAAATATTATAGAATACAGTATATATATTAAAGTGTTCCATTTATTAAAGTCTGTATGTAGGCAGCAGCCTCTCTGTGCTAGTGATGGCTGTTTAACAGTCTGATGGCCTTGAGATAGAAGCTGTTTTTCAGTCTCTCGGTCCCAGCTTTGATGAACCTGTACTTACCTCGCCTTCTGGATGGTAGCGGGGTGAACAGGAAGTGGTTGTTGTTCTTGATTATCTTTTTGGCCTTCCTGTATTTTCTACATTGTAGAATAATAGTGAAGACATCAAAACTATGAAATAACACATATGGAATCATGTAGTAACCAAATAAGTGTTAAACAAATCAAAATATATTTTATACTTGAGATTCTTCAAATAGCCACCCTTTGCCTTGATGACAGCTTTGCACACTCTTGGCATTCTCTCAACCAGCTTCATGTGGTAGTCACCTGGAATGCATTTCAATTAACAGGTGTGCCTTGTTAATTTGTGGAATTTCTTTCCTCCTTAATGCGTTTGAGCCAATCAGTTGTGTTGTGACAAGGTAGGGGGGGTATACAGAAGATAGCCCTATTTGGTAAAAGACCAAGTCCATATTATGGCAAGAACAGCTCAAATAAGCAAAGAGAAACGACAGTCCATCATTACTTTAAGACATGAAGGTCAGTCAATTCGGAAAATTTCAAGAACTTTGAACGTTTCTTCAAGTGGTCCTCTGTAGCTCAGCTGGTAGATCATGGCGCTTGTAACGCCAGGGGTAGTGGGTTCGATCCCCGGGACCACCCATACGTAAAAATGTATGCACACATGACTGTTAGTCGCTTTGGATAAAAGCGTCTGCTAAATGGCATATTATTATATTATAAGTGCAGTCGCAAAAACCATCAAGCTCTATGATGAAACTGGCTCTCATGAGGACCGCCACAGGGAAGGAAGACCCAGAGTTACCTCTGCTGCAGAGGATAAGTTCATTAGAGTTACCAGCCTCAGAAATTGCAGCCCAAATAAATGCTTCAGAGTTCAAGTAACGGACACATCTCAACATCAACTGTTCAGAGGAGACTGTGTGAATCAGACCTTCATGGTTGAATTGCTGCAAAGAAACCACTACTAAAGGACACCAATAAGAAGAAGAGACTTGCGTGGGCCAAGAAACACGAGCAATGGACATTAGACCGGTGGAAATCTGTCCTTTGGTCTGATGAGTCCAAATTTGAGACATTTGGTTCCATCCGCCGTGTCTTTGTGAGACATAGAGTTGGTGAACGGATGATCTCCGCATGTGTGGTTCCCACCATGATGAATAGAGGAGGTGGTGTTATGGTGTGGGGGTGCTTTGCTGGTGACACTGTCAGTGATTTATTTAGAGTTCAAGGCACACTTAACCAGCATGGCTACCACAGCATTCTGCAGCGATACGCCATCCCATCTGGTTTGGGTTTAGTGGGACTATCATTTGTTTTCCAACAGGACAATGACTCAACACACCTCCAGGCTGTGTAAGGGCTATTTGACCAAGAAGGAGAGTGATGGAGTGCTGCCAGATGATATGGCCTCCAAAATCACCCGACCTCAACCCAATTGAGATGGTTTGGGATGAGTTGGACCGCAGAGTGAAGGAAAAGCAGTCATCAAGTGCTCAGCGTATGTGGGAACTCCAAGACTGTTGGAAAAGCATTCCAGGTGAAGCTGGTTGAGAGAATACCAAGAGTGTGCAGAGAATTGAATGTTCATTTCTCTACCATAAGCCGCCTCCAAGGCGTCCAACTTGCCTCACAACCACAGCAGCCCATGTGTAACCACGCCAGCCCACGTGTAACCACGCCAGCCCCAGGACCTACACATTCGGCTTCTTCACCTGTGGGATCGTCTGAGGGTGGGTGGGTGGGGGGGTGTGGTGAGGAGTATTTCTGTCCTTAATACAGCCCTTTTTGTGGGGAAAAACTCATTCTGATTGGCTGGGCCTGGCTCCCCAGTGGGTGGGGAAATCCAGTCATGTGAAATCCATAGATTAGTGCCTCATTTATTTATTTAAATTGACCGATTTTCCTTATGAACTGTAACTCAGTAAAAAAAATATAAAAAATTGTTGCGTTTTTATATTTTTGTTCAGTATACATGTATGTACATACATACAGTGCCTTCAGAAAGTATTCACACCCCTTGACTTATTCCACATTTTGTTACAGCTGTATAAACGCACCCCCTCTCTCTCCTCCTCCTCCTCCCCCCCAGCTGTACATTTATAGGTAACCAGGATACGTATGCAACGCATCTGGACCTGTGTAAGTTTGAAGGGCTGAAGGAGTTCCTTCAACAGACAGATGACAGGTACACACTCTCTTTATATAACTGTTTTACACATCTCTACCCTCCTCTTTATATAACTGTTTTACCCATCTCTACCCTCTCTATATATAACTGTTTCACACATCTCTACCCTCTCTTTATATAACTGTTTTACACATCTCTACACTCTCTTTATATAACTGTTTTACACATCTCTACCTCTCCGCTTTATATAAACTGTTTTACACATCTCGACACTCTCTTTATATAACTTTTTTAACACATCTCTACCCGCTCTTTATATAACTGTTTTACACACGCTCATAACCCTCTCTTTATATAACTGGTTTTAAACACATCTCTACCCTCTCTTTATAAATTTTGTAGGTTTTACACATCTCTACGCTCTCTTTATATAACGTTTTTAACACATATCTACCCTCTCATTTATATAAACTGTTTTACACATCTCTACCCTCTCTTTATATAATGGTTTACACATACTATACCCTCTCTTTATCATAACTGTTTTACACATCTCTACCCTCTATTTATATAAACTGTTTTACTTACACATCTCTACACCCTCTTTATATAACTGTTTTTACACCCTACCTCTTCTTTATATAACTGTTTTACCACATCTCTACACTCTCTTTATATAACTGTTTTACACATCTCTACCCTCTCTTTATATAACTGTTTTACACATCTCTACCCTCTCTTTATATAACTGTTTTACACATCTCTACCCTCTCTTTATATAACTGTTTTACACATCTCTACCCTCTCTTTATATAACTGTTTTACACATCTCTACCCTCTCTTTATATAACTGTTTTTACACATCTCTACCCCTCTATATATAAACCTGTTTTACACATCTCTAACCCTCTCTTTATATAACTGTTTTACACATCGTCCATATATCCTACACTCTCTTTATATAACGGTTTTACACATCTCTACACTCTCTTTATATAACTGTTTTTACACATCTCTACCCTCTCTTTATATAACTGTTTTACACATCTCTACCCCTCTTTATATAAACTGTTTTACAACACTCTCTAACCCTCTCTTTATATAACTGTTTTACACATCTCTACCCTCTCTTTATATACTGTTTTACACCAATCTCTACACTCATCTTTAATCTAACTGTTTTTACACATCTCTACACTCTCTTTCTAATAACTGGTTTAACACATCTCTACCCTCTCTTTGATATAAACTGTTTTAACACATACTCTACCTCTCTTTATATAAATGTTTTACACATCTCTACCCTCTCTTTATATAACGTTTTACACATCTCTACCCTCTCTTTATATAACTGTTTTACACATCTCTACTCTCTCTTTATATAACTGTTTTACACATCTCTACTCTCTCTTTATATAACTGTTTTACACATCTCTACCCTCTTTTATATAACTGTTTTACACATCTCTACCCTCTCGTTTTATAACTGTTGTTACCACATCTACCCTCTCTTATATAACTGTTTTACCATCTCTACCCTCTCTTTATATAACGGTTTTACACATTATATATAGCTTACTGTGATGTGATGGCAGCTTCATTGATTGATGATATACAGTGCATTCGGGAAAATATTCAGACTTTTTCCACAATTTGTTACGTTACAGCCTTATTCTAAAATGGATTAAATTCATTTTTTCCTCATCAATCAACACACAATACCTCATATTGACAAAGCAAAAACAGGTTTTTAGAAATGTTTGCAAATTTATTAAAAATAAACGGAAATATCACATTTTACATACGTTTTCAAACCCTTTACTCAGTACTTTGTTGAAGCACCTTTGGCAGCGATTACAGCCTTGAGTCTTCTTGGGGTATGACGCTACAAGCTTGGCACACCTGTATTTGGGGAGTTTCTCCCATTCTTCTCTGCAGATCCTCTCAAGCTCTGTCAGGTTGGATGGGGAGCGTTGCTACACAGCTATTTTCAGGTCTCTCCAGAGATGTTCGATCGGGTTCAAGTCCAGGCTCTGGCTGGGCCACTCAAGGACATTCAGAGACTTGTCCCAAAGCCACTCCTGCGTTGTCCTGCCCAGTCTGAGGTCCTGAGCGCTCTGGAGCACGTTTTCATCAAGGATCTCTCTGTACTTTGCTCCGTTCATCTTTCCCTCGATCCTGACTAGTCTCCCTGTCCCTGCCGCTGGAAAACATCCCCACAGCTTGATGCTGCCACCATCATGCTTCACCGTAGGGATGGTGCCAGGTTTCCTCCAGACGTGACGCTTGGCATTCAGGCCAAAGAGTTCAATCTTGGTTTCATCAGGTCTGAGAGTCTTTAGGTGCCTTTTGGCAAACTCCAAGAGGGCTGTCATGTGCCTTTTACTGAGGAGTGGCTTCCGTCTGGCCACTCTACCATAAAGGCCTGATTGGTGGAGTACTGCAGAGATGGTTGTCCTTCTGGAAGGTTCTCCGATCTCCACAGAGTTACTCTGGAGCTCTGTCAGAGTGACCATCGGGTTCTTGGTCACCTCCCTGACCAAGGCCCTTCTCCCCTGATTGCTCAGTTTGGCCGGGCGGCCAGTTCTAGGAAGAGTCTTGGTGGTTCCAAACTTCTTCCATTTAAGAATGATGGAGGCCACTGTGTTCTTGGGGACCTTCAATGCTGGAGACATTTTTTTGGTACCCTTCCCCAGATCTGTGCCTCGACACAATCCTGTCTCGGAGCTCTACGACAATTCCTTCGACCTCATGGCTTGGTTTTTGCTCTGACATGCACTGTCAACTGTGGGACCTTTATATAGACAGGTGTGTGCCTTTCCAAATCATGTCCAATCAATTGAATTTACCACAGGTGGACTCCAATCAAGTTGTAGAAACATCTCAAGGATGATCAATGGAAACAGGATGCACCTGAGCTCGATTTCAAGTCTCATAGCAAAGGGTCTGAATACTAAGGTGTTTCTGTTAATTTTTTATTTTTATAAATTCGCAAAATAAATTAAGACGTTTTTGCTTTGTCATTATGGGGTATTGTGTGTAGATTGAATTTAATCCGTTTTTGAATAAGGCATAACTAAATGTGGAAAAAGTCAATGGGTCTGAATACTTTCCGAATGCACTGCACAGCATATTCTAAAGCTTGCTGTGATTTGTTGTGATGCTGAGTTCCATGAGATGCAGTTGACCCTCCCTCCCTCCCCCCTGATAGGTTCCATGAGATGCAGTTGACCCTCCCTCCCTCCCCCCTGATAGGTTCCATGAGATGCAGTTGACCCTCCCTCCTGATAGGTTCCATGAGATGCAGTTGACCCTCCCTCCCTCCCCCCTGATAGGTTCCATGAGATGCAGTTGACCCTCCCTCCCTCCCCCTGATAGGTTCCATGAGATGCAGTTGACCCTCCCTCCCTCCCTGATAGGTTCCATGAGATGCAGTTGACCCTCCCTCCCCCCTGATAGGTTCCATGAATGCAGTTGACCCTCCCTCCCTCCCTCCCTGATAGGTTCCATGAGATGCAGTTGACCCTCCCTCCCTCCCCCCTGATAGGTTTCCATGAGATGCATTGACCCTCCCCCCCCCCCCCCCCCCCCCCCTGATAGGTTCCATGAGATGCAGTTGACCCTCCTCCTCCCTCCCTGATAGGTTCCATGAGATGCAGTTGACCCTCCCTCCCTCCCCCCTGATAGGTTCCATGAGATGCAGTTGACCCTCCCTCCCTCCCCCCTGATAGGTTCCATGAGATGCAGTTGACCCCCCCCCCCCCCCCCCCTGATAGGTTCCATGAGATGCAGTTGGACCCTCCCTCCCTCCCCCCCCTGATAGGTTCCATGAGATGCAGTTGACCCCCTCCTCCTCCCCCCTGATAGGTTCCCATGAGATGCAGTTTGACCCTCCCTTCCCTCCCCCCTGATAGGTTCCCTGAGATGCAGTTGACCCTCCCTCCCTCCCCCCTGATAGGTTCCCTGAGATGCAGTTGACCCTCCCTCCCTCCCCTCCCTGATAGGTTCCATGAGATGCAGTTGACCCTCCCTCCCTCCCCCCTGATAGGTTCCATGAGATGCAGTTGACCCTCCCTCCCTCCCCCCCTGATAGGTTCCATGAGATGCAGTTTGACCCTCCCTCCCTCCCCCCCTGATAGGTTCCATGAGATGCAGTTGACCCTCCCTCCCTCCCCCTGATAGGTTCCATGAGATGCAGTTGACCCTCCCTCCCTCCCCCCCCCTGATAGGTTCCCTGAGATGCAGTTGACCCTCCCTCCCTCCCCCCTGATAGGTTCCATGAGATGCAGTTGACCCTCCCTCCCTCCCTCCCTCCTGATAGGTTCCATGAGATGCAGTTGACCCTGACCCAGAAGGACCAGGACATAGCCTTCCTCAGGTCCATGCTGGGGAAACTGTCTGAGAAACTAGACCAACTGGAGAAGAACCTGGAACTGAAGTTTGGTATGACAGAGGGGGTTGGGTGGGGGGGGCGTTGTCTTTGTGTGTGTGTGTGTGTGTGTGTGTGTGTGTGTGTGTGTGTGTGTGTGTCAAATCAACGTTTATTGGTCACATGCACAGGATACAGGGTGTAAATGATCCAGTGAAATGCTTCCTTGCAAGCTCTCCTCAACAGTGCAGTAGATGTCTATTAAAAACTATTCACAAATAAACCAATAGAAAGTAGTGAAAATTGCGATGTTGGAAATATACAGTATATAAACGTTCTGTACAAATACAGGGGATAAATGCAAAATAAACTATTAGAAACAATAATTGAAATGGTCCAAATACTGCGGGTTTTGGGGACCTGTTATTCCCTGGTGTGCCCGGGGCACCTGGTGGTGTGTTTGACCTGGTGTGTGGTGTTTACCTGGTGTGGTGTGTGTTGTGCCTGTTGTGTTTGGGGTTTGACCTGGTGTGTGGGGTGTGTGGTGTGTGGTGTTTGACCTGGTGTGTGTTTGACTGGTTGTGTGTTTGACCTGGTGTTGTGGGTTGGAGGTGGTGTGTGTTGATGGTTGGTGGGGTTGACCTGGTGGTGTGTGTTTTGACCTGGTGTGTGTGTTTTGACTGGTGTGTGTGTGACCTGGTGTGTGTGTGTTTTGACCTGGTGTGTGTGTCTGACCTGGTGTGGTGTGTTTGACCTGGTGTGTGTTTTGACCTGGTGTGTGTGTGAGGTGTGTGTGTTTGCTGTGTGTGTTTGACCTGGTGTGGTTTGTTGACCGGGTTGTGTGTGTGTGTTGTTTTGACCTGGTGTGTTGTTTGACCTTTTTTGTGTGGGGTGTGTTTTGACCTGGTGTGTGTGTTTTTGACCTGGTGTGTGTGTGTTTGACCTTTGGTGTTGTGGTGTTTTCTGCCCTTTGTGTGTGTGTTTTGACCTGGTGTGTGTGTTTTGACCTGGTGTGTGGTTTGGGTTTGTGTTTGTGGTGTTTTGGCCCTTGGTTTTGTGTTTGATGGATGAACCGGTGGTGGACCGGGTGGTTTTTCCGGGGTGGCCTTGTTTTTCCCCGTGTTTGTCCTGTTTTGTTGTCCCCTGGTTCTGTTGTTTTTGCCTTTGGGGGTTGTTTCCGGGTTGGTTTAACCTCCTCCCGTGTTCCGTTGTTTTTTGAGCCCCATCCCAACGTAAGCCTGTTATTTTTATCCCTCCATGCTCAACGTCAGTCTCTGTCTGTTTATGCCTCCATGCTCAACTTCAGTCTCTGTCTTTTTTATGCCTCCATGCTCAACGTCAGTCTCTGTCTTTTTTATGCCTCCATGCTAAAAGTCAGTCCTCTGTCTGTTTATGCCTCCATGCTCAACGTCAGTCTCTGTCTGTTTATGCCTCCATGCTCAACGTCAGTCTCTGTCTGTTTATGCCTCCATGCTCAACGTCAGTCTCTGTCTGTTTATGCCTCCATGCTCAACGTCAGTCTCTGTCTGTTTATGCCTCCATGCTCAACGTCAGTCTCTGTCTTTTTAAATTCCCTCCATGCTCAACGTCATCTCTGTTGTTTTTTGCCTCCATGCTCAACGTCAGTCTCTGTCTGTTTATGCTGGATATTAGACTTGGATGCTAGTCACAGAAAGTCAATTGTTCATTAACATTTCTCTCTGTCTCTCTCTCAGGATGAGTTGTCCCACATCAACGCCAGACTCAACATGGGCATCCTGGGCTGTGATTTTTTCCTTCCTTTCTCCTCCCCTCCTCGCCTTCCTCATTTCTTCCCCCCCCCTTCCTCCCCTCCTCTCTTCTCCTCTTTCTCTCTCCCTCCTTCCTCTCCTCTCCTCTCCTCTCCTCTCCTCTCCTCTCCTCTCCTCTCCTCTCCTCTCCTCTCCTTCTCCTCTCTTCTCCTCTCTTCTCCTCTCCCCTCCCCTCCCCTCCTCTCCCTCTTCCTCTTCCTCTGTATAACTAACCTCCCTGTGTGTGTCCCCCCCTCCAGCCTATGATCCCCAGCAGATCTTTAAATGTAAGGGAACGTTCGTGGGTCACCAGGGGCCAGTCTGGTGTCTGTGTGTCTATTCTACAGGAGACCTGCTCTTCTCTGGATCCTCGGACAAAACCATCAAGGTACATAACGCACACGTTGCTCACACACACACACCAGCATGGACACACATACACACACACACACACACACATACATACACACACACACACGCCATGCGCACCCACCAACGCACGCACGTACACACAATCACACACACCTATACTCTTCTCTCACACCAGGGTTCACGAGGTGCTTGAATTTGGCACTCTGAAATTCAACTTCTGGAATACTTTGGAAATCACACATTTTTTTCGAGTTTGGTACTTGAATTAAAAATGAGAGGAGAAAAGAAAAGGATCTAAAAATATTAGAAAAAAATGTATTGGTCTTCCGAATTAATTTCCAGGCAGACTTGCAGAGTTTTATTTCCTCACGTGTTTCACGACTCTGGTTGCCCGGGCGAGCTCGCTCATTTCCAACCACAATGGCGCTCATCCAGGAAAGGACAGAACTGACTGATTTTAGTTGCAGCCGAACGTCACATCGATGGCTAAAATGCCGGGCTAATGTAGATTCAGTGCTGCCTGGCAGGATATTGATGTTTCTGAATGGGTTTAGCCAGACCCAACCAGGGATGTAGAGGAAACACCGTTTACGCACCTTTTTATTTGTGAAATAGCGTTTATTTCACTTTTTTTTTTTTTTTGTTAATGATTGTTTACCCACTTATTGCGTTCCCAGCATTGATCAACGCTCAGAAGGCTTCTTGATCTGAGTTCTAATCATTGATCAACGCTCAGAAGGCTTCTTGATCGGAGTTCTAATCGTTGATCAACGCTCAGAAGGCTTCTTGATCGGAGTTCTAATCGTTGATCAACGCTCAGAAGGCTTCTTGATCGGAGTTCTAATCGTTGATCAACGCTCAGAAGGCTTCTTGATCTGAGTTCTAATCGTTGATCAACGCTCAGAAGGCTTCTTGATCGGAGCTCTAATCGTTTGATCAACGCTCAGAAGGCTTCTTGATCGGAGTTCTAATCGTTGATCAACGCTCAGAAGGCTTCTTGATCGGAGTTCTAATCGTTGATCAACGCTCAGAAGGCTTCTTGATCGGAGTTCTAATCGTTGATCAACGCTCAGAAGGCTTCTTGATCGGAGTTCTAATCGTTGATCAACGCTCAGAAGGCTTCTTGATCGGAGTTCTAATCGTTGATCAACGCTCAGAAGGCTTCTTGATCGGAGTTCTAATCGTGCCTACCTCTGTGAATGAGTGGAATCATGAATGATTCACGTGTGCTCGTTATGTTCGCCTGCTCCCTCAGATTTGCCTCGTTAGCAGCATTCATTCACACCTCCTCTGTCCAACGGGGGAAAACTCCGGCCACGGCATAGGCCGAGGTAAATAGTCGCTGATATTTCAGCCGGATGTCTAGCTAGCTAGGTAGCTCAAGGGGCTCTGGCTATTAGCCAGGTAAGCTATTAGCCAGGTAAGCTATTAGCCAGGTAAGCTATTAGCCAGGTAAGCTATTAGCCAGGTAAGCTAGTAGCCAGGTAAGCTAGTAGCCAGGTAAGCTATTAGCCAGGTAAGCTATTAGCCAGGTAAGCTATTAGCCAGGTAAGCTAGCTAAACTAGCTGGCTAGAAGGATAAAGTTAGAAGCTAACATTTGAACGGAGCCTCAGAGGGAACAGTTGACCGAAATGTATACTAGCTATAATCAAAAGATGGGCGACTCTTGAAGTTCTCGTAAAACAAAACACCTTTTATTTTATAGAGAGAGTAGTGAGACACAGTTTTTGAGTCGGGCTGCAATTGAAGGGGGCAAAGGAGATACACAGAGAGAGGAAGCATTGAAGCAAGCAGGGAGAAAGGTTAGTAGTACAGTGGTTCCCAAACTGGGGGTCTGGGACCCACGTGGAGTCCCCTGAAATGTAGTGAAATATAAAGACAATTTTTAATATTTTCATGTACACCTGAATGAAAATATAAATGCAACAATTTCAAAGATTTGACTGAGTTACAGTTCATATATATGAAATCAGTCAACGTCATCAGTCCGGACTTACCACTCATGTATGTAGTGAAACGCGGATTATTGAGTAGAACTTGTCAGAGATGAATAGTAAGTTAGTTTTGTTTTTTTTCATGAGTTTGTGGCGATATATACTGCAATCTGGTGGCGACATACTGCCATCTGGTGGCGACATATACTGCCATCTGGTGGCGACATACTGCCATCTGGTGGCGACATATACTGCCATCTGGTGGCGACATATACTGCCATCTGGTGGCGACATACTGCCATCTGGTGGCGACATACTGCCATCTGGTGGCGATATACTGCCATCTGGTGGCGATATACTGCCATCTGGTGGCGATATACTGCCATCTGGTGGCGACATACTGCCATCTGGTGGCGACATACTGCCATCTGGTGGCGATATGTACTGCCATCTGGTGGCGATATGTACTGCCATCTGGTGGCGATATGTACTGCCATCTGGTGGCGACATACTGCCATCTGGTGGCGATATGTACTGCCATCTGGTGGCGATATGTACTGCCATCTGGTGGCGATATGTACTGCCATCTGGTGGTGCCTAGAAACAATTGCATAATAGGAACTATTACATATTGATGGTCCTTGAAAATAAATATTAGCGCTTGAAAGTCCTAAAATTTGACTCGCCACAGTCTGTAAGAACCCTGTCTCACACACACACACACACACACACACACACACACCTACACACACACACACCTACACACACACACACCTCCACACACACACTCGCACACCTCCACACACACACTCGCACACCTCCACACACACACTCGCACACCTCCACACACACTCACACACCTCCACACACACACTCGCACACCTCCACACACACACACACTGCATGCTTGCACAGACACATGTACAGACACACATTTTGACGTTCTCTCTCTCTCTCTCTCTCTCTCTCTCTCTCTCTCTTTGTCTCCCTCTCTCTCTGTCTCTCTCTCTCTGTCTCTCTCTCTGTCTCTCTCTCAGGTCTGGGATACCTGCACCACCTATAAGTGTCAGAAGACTCTGGAGGGTCATGATGGAATCGTGCTGGCACTGTGTATACAGGGGTAAGGACACACACACACACACACACACACACACACACACACACAGTTGTCTAAATGAAAAGGTATGTGTGTGTATGTATTGACTGATGTAATCTCTCTCACTCTTCTGTCTATCCTCCTTTCTCCTCTCTCCTCCTCCCCCTCTCTCCTCCCCCTCTCCTCCCCTCCCCCTCTCCTCCCCCTCTCTCCCCTCCCCCTCTCTCTCCTCTCCTCCCCCTCTCTCCTCTCTCTCCCTCCCCCTCTCTCTCCCCTCCTCCCCCTCTCCCCTCCTCCCCCTCTCCCCTCCCCCCTCCTCCCCCTCTCCCCTCCTCCCCCTCTCCCCTCCTCCTCTCTCCCCCCTCCTCCTCTCTCTCTCTCTCTCTCTCCTCCCCCTCTCTCCTCTCCTCCCCCTCTCTCCTCTCCTCCCCCTCTCCACCTCCTCCCCCTCTCCCTCCTCCCCTCTCCCTCCTCCTCCCCCCCGTTCCCTCTATCTCTCTCTCTCCTCCCCCTCTCTCCTCCCCCTCTCTCCTCTCCTCCTCCCCCTCTCTCCTCTCCTCCCCCTCTCTCCTCTCTCTCCCCCTCCCCCTCTCTCTCCCCTCCCCCTCTCCCCCCTCCTCCCCCTCTCCCCCTCCTCCTCTCTCCCCCCTCTCTCTCTCTCTCTCCTCCCCTCTCTCTCCTCCTCTCTCTCCTCCCCCTCTCTCTCCTCCCTCTCTCTCTCCTCCCTCTCTCCTCCCCTCCTCTCTCCCCTCCTCCCCTCTCGTCTCTCTCTCTCCTCCCCCTCTCTCTCCTCCCTCTCTCTCCTCCCCCTCTCTCTCCTCCCTCTCTCCTCTCTCTCTCCTCCCCCTCTCTCTCTCCTCCCCCTCTCTCTCCCCTCCTCCTCTCTCTCCTCCCTCCCTGTAGGAACAGACTGTATAGTGGATCAGCTGACTGCACCATCATAGTGAGTCTGTTCTGACTGCCGTTGTCCCTTATAAAGGATCCCGTATAACCACAATAACACACCTACAGTCTGACTGTTGTCTCTTATAAAGGATCCCGTATAACCACAATAACACACCTACAGTCTGACTGTTGTCTCTTATAAAGGATCCCATATAACCACAATAACACCCTACAGTCCTGACTGGTTGCCTCGTTATAAAGGATCCCATATAACCACAATAACACACCTACAGTCTGACTGGTTGTCTCTTATAAAGGATCCCATATAACCACAATAACACCACCTAGTCTGACTGTTGTCTCTTATAAGGATCCCATATAACCACAATAACACACCTACAGTCTGACTGTTGTCTCTTATAAAGGATCCCATATAACCACAATAACACACCTACAGTCTGACTGTTGTCTCTTATAAAGGATCCCATATAACCACAATAACACACCTACAGTCTGACTGTTGTCTCTTATAAAGGATCCCATATAACCACAATAACACACCTACAGTCTGACTGTTGTCTCTTATAAAGGATCCCGTATAACCACAATAACACACCTACAGTCTGACTGTTGTCTCTTATAAAGGATCCCGTATAACCACAATAACCACCTACAGTCTGACTGTTGTCTCTTATACAAGGATCCGTATAACCACAATAACCACCTACAGTCTGACTGTTGTCCTCTTATAAAGGATCCCATATAACCACAATAACACCCTACAGTCTGACTGCTGTTGTCTCTTATAAAGGATCCCATATAACCACAATAACACACCTACAGTCTGACTGTTGTCTCTTATAAAGGATCCTGTGTAACCACAATAACACACCTACAGTCTGACTGTTGTCTCTTATAAAGGATCCTTTTTAACCACAATAACATGAATGAACCTGCTGTACTATACCTAGATTAGCGGACAGACCTGTATCTGCGTTGGTGTCCAACACGCCTCTTGTGCGTTCTCTCTTCTCTCTCTGCGTCTCTCTCTCTCTGTCTCTCTCTCTCTCTGTCTCTCTCTCTGTCTCTCTCTGTCTCTCTCTCTCTCTCTCTCTCTCTCTCTGTCTCTCTCTCTGTCTCTCTCTCTGTCTCTTCTTTTTTCGTCTCTCTCTCTGTCTTTCTCTGTCTCTCTCTTCTCTCTGTCTCTCCTCTCTCTCTGTTTCTTCTCTCTTCTCTCTCTCTCTCTCTCTGTCTCTCTCTCTCTGTCCTCTCTTCTCTCTCTCTCTCCTCTCTCTCTCTCTCTCTCTCTGTGTAGGTGTGGGACATCCAGACCCTGCAGAAGGTGAATACTATCCGTGCCCATGACAACCCCGTATGCACGCTGGTGTCCTCCCACAACATGCTGTTCAGCGGATCCCTCAAGGCCATCAAGGTAGGACCAAAAGACTATTTAAAAATAGACGCCTAGAAACTGCTTCGCCCAATACAAAAATCACGCTGTTCGTGGCTGTCGAAGAGGGTGTAACCTTTTGGTATTTCTTACTGCTGTGAGTAGGCAACGATATGGATGTTCTGCTCCAGTCAGAGGTAGGCTGTTCCTCACTTTTACTGGTCTTTTCATCTTGATGATGGGTTTAAATTCAGACTTCTCTGCCATCATCCAGGCTCTGCTGTAGCCGGCCGCGACCGGGAGACCCATGGGGCGGCGCACAATTGGCCCAGGGTAGGGGAGGGAATAGCCGGCAGGGGATGTAGCTCAGTTGGTAGAGCATGGCGTTTGCAACACCAGGGTTGTGGGTTCGATAAAATAATGTATGCACTCACTAACTAACTAAGTCGCTCTGGATAAGAGCGTCTGCTAAATGACTAAAATGTAAATTAAGCTGTAATGATCCAATGTTGTGTGTCCATCCACTGTGGTCTGAAAGGGGAAAACTTTGAAATAGAATGGCTTCAATACAATGGCTTGACGTCTTAGAATAAGGCACATATTAATAAATAACAAGATAAACAGTTCTGCTATGACTCAGAAACGAGATGCAACAGCTTGGCTAGCTAACTAATATGGTTAAGTCAAAATGTGGCTAACCGTGGTTACTTAGCTAGCATAAAAAAACCAACTGTTACAATAATGATGAAAATAGGACCAAAATAATGACAACTTTATCAACAATGTAATTTACTCTCAGTTCTGGGCATCAGGTACAGTGAAGGATAAAACCCATTTGCCGATTTTGTATTTGAATGGCGAATGGGAAGCGTGCTTCAGTTACCAGTTGAGAAATATAAAAACTAGCGCTCTTTTAATCATGATTTTAACGCACGATTGCATTTAGAATTGTTGAGTAATGATTGGGCTGATTATAAGAGCGCTGTCTGACAGATTCTCCTCTCAAAGTCTCTGTGTGATTAAATAAGATGCATAACGAATATACACAAGCGCCAATTTTATTCCACTAAATTATGCAAATGAACCCATAGACCGATCAGCATGACCTGTCAAATGTATTTCTATCCTCTGGTATTTCCATTTAATGGTTATGCTAAAAAATATTATTTCACAACGGGATTTTTTTCTTCTCCCAATTGGCCGGTGCCGTTTTAATTTATCGGCTTTTCTATTACCGGCTAATGGAAACCTTTAACCCCAGGCCTCCTCTTCCTGTACAGTACAGGCATCAAAAC